ATGGAGAGTATAAATACAGTATCTGCCTTCTGAACCATATTTAGCTTTTTTAAGACTATGTTCAGTCCTATGTGAAGACCAACATAAAGATGATTAGCATTGCCCTGATATAGCAGGCTGCAACCTCTTGTCAGATTGAGGTGGAGAGATACTTATCTATGCTTTTGCAGCTGAGGCCATTTATTTCTGAGCTTAGATGTCAGCAACATAAGCCAGTTCAAGAGCACATAAGGTGGTGTGGAGCAGTGGAATCACTATCAGGAGCCAGGTGGTCTCTGGAAAAAGCAAAAAAAAGACGCTGTAGAAAGAATCCCACTTGTTCAAGTGGCAGCACCAAGCAGTCCTCCTCATGGCATCCTCAAGGTCAGGAGAACTGGAGGACAAAGGCTTTTGAGATGACAGCTTAGCTGCCTTGAGAGCAAGAAAGACCACATCAAGCAAGCAGCCCAGGGGAACTCGGACTCTGTGATTCCCTGTGCAGACACGGATATCCAATTGTAGTAGACAACTGTGTTCAGACGCACAAAATGGAAGCTGCACTTTCCAAAAGGCCTCTTCTTTTTCAGCTAAAACACCTTCTTTTCTCTCCTGAGAGCACAAAACGGCACCAGGAACTGCTTTATCTTCAAACATCTGAACAAGGGAGAGAAGAGAACAGAGCAAGCCTTTCCTTGTCCCTCTGTTGTCCAGAGTTTTTTCCAAAAACTGCACAGGCCATTCAGAGGCTACATATTTACTGGTGGTTGTGTGATATTGACACTTACTATACTTATGTGTCTTATTCTGAGAAAATACTGAGCAGTCTCAACTCTTGCTAAGGGACCACAAACCCTGTATTAAGTGGCAAATGCACAATTATCTGTCAGGCTCAAGCTCCTATTCATGATAAATGAGAATATCTCATTTATAAAGCACGGGGATGTTGTTGTTCAGCATGAAAGCATATGAAGTGCCTTGCTTCCTAACCTCCAGATGGCACTCACTCCACACCAAGTAATCCACTGGAAAGGACACTAAGTTATAGCAAGACAGTGTTACACAATTCCTTCCTAATGTTAAGTGACATTAAATAGTTCCAGATTCTCGATTCTGATTTGCTCTGTGTGAATTCAGAGTAACTCTCCCAGAGAACCACTCAAAAATGGAGTGTACAGGAAGGAAGATAGTCTAAGTAGTGCATGACTTAATCCTTGATTAAATCCATGTTACTGAGCACTGGCACTGTTTCAGCTGCAGCACTTTTCCCAGTTCTGGGTAGGAGATGGAAGGTCTTGCCCTGAAGATGTGCGTCAACTAAGCAGAGCCTAGACGATCAATGATGGTAACTGCAGTACTGGAAAATATGGCTTATGATGAAAGATCAAACAAAGTGGCATAGTTTAATCTGAAGAAGAAAAAGCAAATAGAGAACAGGGCAACAGTCTTCAGATAAATAGCTTTGGAATGAAAAAAAGATAAATAGCTTTGGAATGAAAAAAGAATACATTGTACTTTACGTGCATGGCAGACAATACTAAAAATAACAAGATCTAAATTATAGCAGAAAATAAGCATGTTAGATATTAGGGAAGCTAGTGGCAAGGAAAACACAGCACTGGCATAGATTCCCTGAGGAATCTCCATGGTTGAAGGTTAAACACACACATCCATCAGGAATGACATATTTAATGGGCCTTGCCATTTAATGTAGAAAGGGGACGACTGTCTGAAGTACTTTTCATGAATTCTCTGATTTATACTAGAGTCGCTGAGATCAGAACATGCTTTGAAAACATTTTTTAAAACATGTTTAAAAATAATTGCAAGAAAAATCATAGTTCCATTAGACCAGGTTTACATAGATCGCACCTCTAAAATAAAGATTACTTTTCCTTGCAAGTAGTTGGAAGAATCAGAAGTATCATTTCTACAAAAAAACAGGTGAAGAAAATGCTTTCCACAAAGCCCAGCTGTGCCTCTTTTATTCACATAGTCCCACTGAAATCCAGCATTCACCTGAGAAGCTTGGCTAGTGCCCTCCCGACAGCCACATAAGAACACTTCTGTACGAGCACATTTATGCCATTATGTCACATGTAAGGATGGTGATAACCAATTTTCTTTCAACAGCTTCAGGATGCCCTTACTAATACAGCGTAGCCCTTTCTCTGCTGTCCTCATTCAGATAAAGCACCCATCGAAATGCCAAGCAGTTCTTGTAGTGGGTGCCTGTTAACGACTACAACATTTATACAGCATAGTCAGAACCAAATACTTCAAACTCTCCTGCACTCCTATTCAGCTTTACTAACACAGGCCACTTCAGTTGAACAGATCACAACAGAAAACTTCAGTATATACAGAAATTTGGACCAGAGTGTAAAGTTGTGAAGGCGAATCCGGATGCACATGCCAGAACCACTGTCCAGCACCTCTATGACCACAGCCCACCTTTCTCCCTTCAAATGCTTCCCCCGCAGAAGGCTGAAAAGGGGCTTACCAAAGGATGGGCTCTGAGGAGGACATAAGCACTGATAACACATGGGAAGGGAGGAGATGTGGGTCTCCGGGGCTGTAAGGAGTATCAGGGGGGATATTAGAAGGAAAAAGGGTTGCCATCAGTGGTCTAAAAAATGCAGGTAAAAGCTGTGCCAGTTTTGCATAAATCCATGACCAAGCACTTTACAAATCTATAGGTATGCCTGGATGACAGACAAGCTGAAAGGTTTTTCAGCTTAGTCATGAAAGTGGGCAACCTTGGAAAAAGAAGATCTGTGCACTGTTGCAGGATCACCGCAATCCAGAACTCTACTGCCTTTTCTGATGTGAAATTAAGCTAATACCTTGACTTTCTAATCAAGCTAATTGAAACAACTTAAAAATGCCAGTGGGAAGTAACCGGATATTACTAGCTCTTTTCACCCCAAGTCCCAAAACTCCTGTTTGTTCATGTTTCCTGCTGGAATCAAGAGCAATTCTAAACATTGACATCTCAACAAATATCTCTGTAAGGATAAGTGACTGTCTAGAGAATGAAAGTGTCCCAAATGGAACAGGTTTTATAATCCATGTGAGATGGGAACACTGTATAGAGCTGGACACAGCAATTTATTCAATTATTATACCTTCCTTGGAATGGTAAATTATTTTATGCTGCTGCAGTTACACCTCCTTTGCCACCCAGCCTCGTGTTTTTGAAGTTAGTTTGGCTCTTTATACCCTGTACAGCAACTTTCAGAACAGATGTTTGGGGAATATCTGAGGTCCTACTCAAAACTGTCTTAGAATCTGAGAGCAGAAGGCAGGCAGGCATTCTCCATATTCCTTTTTCTCCTCAAGTTCTAACAATCATTTATCTTTTACCATAATTACCTTTGCGAACCAATCCTTGCTTACATGATCAGAGTCTCTTAGAAAGACCAGATGAAATGATAACAGCTTTGAAATCTCTAAATAGTAATCAGTGAAAATTCCATTATTAAAGAGACTGTGTAGATGTTAGCTGTACTGTAAGCTTCTTGTAAAAAGTTCTTATGATGTGTCACTTACGCTTCAGTTTTATAAGCTTTGTTTTCCCTTTGCTGCCAGATCACAAACAAGAGATTATACATGTTTAGACAATGTCTTTAATATTTCTTTCAGTTAAAGAGCACAAGTGGGCAAAAATATTAATCTAACTCTTCCTTCCGTTAGACACACTGGTGGGTTTTTAAGCGTTATTAATTCTGAGTGCAAAGATGTTTCTAGTGCCTCCAGATTTTGTGCATTCTCATTTCAAGCTCTACTCATAATAAAAAAATTGTGTGAAAGACTTCTACTTTTGTAACAAAACACAGTCTGTGTAAGTTCATACAAATCTGTATTTCTTATACTTTTACAGCAGTCTTTGTATGCAGTTCCCAGCTGGCATCTTAACGGTTACGTTTTGGTTTATGAAACTGGTGATGACTGTACACCTAATTGTGTGTCTTGGAAACTGTATTTAAAACTGTTTGTTGGCCTATAAATTATTACACAGTAAACAAAACAAGTGAATGGCTATTTCTACAAAGAAGGGCTCATCACGCTCTGAACATTTTTGTGTTAAACAGTGGGATTGCTGCAATAGAGAAGGGAGAGGATAGTTATGTATCAGGTTAGATGGACAATACAGGCCAGCTCCAGGCTTCATGTTTGTATGTATCATACACACGTTTGCTTTCTGTAAAGAACACTATGCAGAACAAAAAGCTCTGAATTGAAGTTCATCTTAAAGTAGACAATTAATTTTCTTGTTCACAAGAAAAGAATAGGTTTTTTTGGTTCTGTTGATTTTAAAAGTCAACAGTAATTTGTCTGGGCCTCAAGCTGGTAAGTTCTGTCCAGAGAGAAACCAATAAAACTTTCCTAAAATAGGATGTCTACCTTTAAAACTCTGCTCACTATGCTGAATTCATGTCAGCTATGCTTTTCCCTCTTCAGAAATCTTCATGTTTGACTGGATGAATTCCTTGAAACTCAAACGCTTCTCCAAGAAACTCAGAAGATCTGGCAAATGCTGTAGGGGTGCTTGCATAGTTCTGTAAATTGCAGCCCTCAGTGAAGAAAGGCACAGATGCCATAGACTGACTTCATCTTGCAACCTTCTCAAAGCCTCTCACAAAAATTATATGTAGCCACAAAACCACTAGTACTTAGAAATGGGATTTCCAAGCATCTGGGGTTAAAGCCTCACCTCAGTACAACACCTTTATGCCAACTTGACAGCAAAACTGCTGCAAATGTCTCTTCCAGGAATGTCTCTTCCCCTGCCTTCCAGGGGAATGCCAAGAGGAAACTCTCAGCTGGCATGAACTGATTACATATTGCATTAAAAAGTAATGTGCAGGCACAATTGTGCACATACACGCAGAATTGCTATAAAAGACAGCTGAACTGAGCATTAAAGAACAAAGCGAGGAGATCTAGGTTTACTCCATGACTTTGGCCTCATAACTTCAAATTCTTTTGT